CAAGTTTGACCTTCCCAGACAACTACAGAGAGCACTGAAAAGTTAGCAGCAGAAGTTCCTACATTTAATTATGTGTACATTTTATATCAGCAGAGGAGCAACATGAACTAATATTGGGCTCTGGCTAATGGGCTGGCCTGATATGCTGGCATGTTTAGTAGAAAGTAGTATAAATAAGTGTATAAAAAGCTATTGGTAAGCTCTAGGTGGGGGTATACAAGTGTTCATTGTCATTTTTTTCCATTTTGCTTCATATTTGAAAATATTTATAATAAAATGTGAAAAACATTGAGCTCCCTTTTGTGGTAGAGCAGTGGTATGAGATGGAATGTGAATATTATGCACCATTGTACACCATGTTGAGTAGAAATATAACACAGCTTTATTCCAGTTTGAGGAAGAAAAGGACGGAAGGTTAGGGGTTGTGTAGGTGAGCCGCTTGTGATTCAGGAGGTGTTGTTTAAAGGTGGGAAATCAGTGGTTAGAGAATCTTTCGTACAAGAGAATGGAGCCAAGACTTGAACGGAGGAAGGTGCACAGGAAATAGTGGGGCGCTCCGTAGTTTGGGCACGGCTCACCTGGAGAGGCAGTAGGTGCGATGTAAGAAAAAAGCTTTAAGACAAATCAGGGTCTCAGAGTGGATGGCTGAGATACAGTGGCACACAGAAACCAAAGGCACAAAAAAAAAGCGGGGGGGCCGTGGATGTAGCTCAGCTGCATGGCGCCTGCCTGGCAAGCGCAAGGTCCTGAGTTCGATTTCTTGTACCAAAAAAAAAAAAAGGAAAAAAACAAATGCAAACGTACGCATAGAGTATCTTGGGAAGGACACTGTTAAAAATGATTTTAGGATAGGGAGTATGATGCGGGGGGAATGAGAGTCCAGTTGTTTACTGAGTACTCTCTTATACTACTTAATTAAAACAAGCAAATGAACCAGTCTGTGAGACAAGTTGCCTTAGCTTTATTTAATGAGGGTCAGGGGAGATTTGTCCTCAGATCACTGTAAATGAAGAGAAGCATTTAAAGGACTGCCAAACACAGGTCCAAATTGTAAACCAGGAGTGGGTTCCAGAGGTGGATGATCGATACTGCATGAACTGCCCAGGGACAGGGAGACTGGAAATCTTTAAAGGTAAAACACCCTCCCCGGCGCTGGGCTGCGTAGAGGCCGAAGTGGAGGAAATGGGTGTGAAGATTGAGTACTTCTTTGAGTCTCTCTTTTTTTGGTTTTTTTGAGACAGAGTTTTGCTATGCAGTTAAGGTTTGCCTTAAATTCACTTTGTAGCCCAGCCTGGCCTCACATTTGCAGTGATCCTCCTGCCTCAGCCTCCTGAGTGCTCAGAGACTTTGAGTCTTTTGGCCTTAGCAGTCTTTAAGGAATTGAACCATAGATGAGTCACAAGAAATTCAGGGCACAGTTTCTGTGGGTTTCAGCCTCTTCTGGGTGAATCATTTCATTTCTAGATGGCAGGTTGTTTTACCCTCCTTCCTGTGTGGACTTATCAAAAGGCTCCTTGCTGCTCTCCTTGACCTTCAGGATGGACCTCTGTCTTACACAAAGCATGTCAGCCCCCAGCATGGGTACACTGACCTCTCTTTGAATGGCACAGGATTCCCGGATGCCTCGAGAAAGCTAAGGCCTGACATTAACTACCTGCCTTTGAGTTTCCCTCCATTCCGCTGCAGGGTTTCGATCTGTTCCTCTGAAGAATGGCTACAGTGAGGACATCGAACTGGCTTCCCTCCTGGTTTTCTGCGAGATGCGGCCAGTTCTGGTAAGTGGCAAAACACCAGCCAGTTGGGGGAGTGGCAACGGGAATACTGTTGTGAATACTATTGCCTCATGACCTTCAACCCACTGAGGCTAAGACGTCATAAAAGATGAACAACTATGTTGCTGATTTCTTAAGGGCCCAGCGGTTTGTCCTCTGACCGTCCTTCTTCCTTGGAGAGTGCTGTGGGATTCTGGGTGTAGTCAGTGTAGTCGGAAAGGGTGCTGGTCCTTGTACGTTTCTCGTTTCGTGTCACCAGGAGCAGGGTCAGGTGGCGCTCTTCCAGATAAACTCCTCACTCTGGAAGCTTTTGGGCTTTGGTCATCCCTCCAACAGCTCTGAGAGCACTCAACAAGGACCCGTCCTGGGAAGGAACTTCATGTAGGAGAATTCCTCTTGCAGCTCTCCATACTGGAGGTGCTTTCCTTGTTGGTCTTTTTGTTTTGCCAAGGCCTTAAAGATTCTTAGTCTCTCCTGCCATTAACTAGTTAGGTAGGCTCCTCAGGACGGTCTTGGGCTCCCTGAATGGTATTAAAAGATGTGATCAGGATGAAAGGTTAAGAACAGAGCAGGCTGGGGGCAGCTGGGGCTTGGGTTTGATGTTTAAAGATCTGGGTATTGTGATTCTAGAGCCTCAGCATCTTAGTGGTGGCCTGTCCCATATTCGCATACCAGTGCAGCGTTTCTGTGATGCCTGATTTGTAGCTAGTCTAATATCCCAGATCTTTCCAAAGCTCGGCCTAGGCTGAGGGGTTCTACGGCCCCTCAGGGTCTCTTTGCCAAACCTGAGAGACTCTGGTTCTGCCCCCTGTTTGGGTGATGGGCGCTTGGTCCTGCCCCTGAAGAGGCATGTTGTTTTCACATCCTGGTGGCTTTCCGGGTAGAGAGTTCATTTGCCAGTGAAGTCGCTCTTTCGGCTGCAAGAACTCAGCAGTGCTTTGCTTGTTTGGCACCTTCCGGAATACAGCTGAAAACCTTCACACGAGGAAATGCACAGCAGAGATGGGATGCCTGCCACAGGATCTGGGATTCATCCCTCTGTGTCCTGGCAGGGAACCAGTGCTGCCCCTCTGTGCACACGAAGCCCATCTGCAGACAGTTCACAGAAAACCCAAGTGATGGGAATGGTTTCTGAGGGCGATAGGACAGCGTGTGTTGAGATGCTGTTCTGCAAAGCTGTCGGAAACAACTAAGAACCGTTATCGATAATTTAAGTGACTGAGTATTACTGGCAGCAGAGAAAATTAATGTATTTGGAAGGAAATTGTGTTTATTCAGCTTTGATTTTCTTGGTGAGGGAAGCTCACTGTGCTGGCCACTGCGGAGGATGCCTAGGGGTGTAGGGCACCGTGTGGGCTTTGACAGCAGTCTGTCCCCTGATGGAGTTTCGTGGAGAACTGTATGAGTGTGCGTGATTTCACTGCAGCCGCTGGCTCTCAAGGGTCTGTTTAATTCCACGTCTGTCACCTGGTTCTGGCCACTCGCAGGTGCCACTTGGCATTTCCATCTGCACAGGCATGAGGGCTCTCTCACGAGCCGAGCTGGGTACATTTGCTCAACCTGGGCTCTCTCCTTGATGCCCAGGGTTGAACCTTGTTTTATTTATCACCGTCTTCTGGGTGCCCAGGACAGACTTTGGTAAACAGCCTCTAGCAAAACTTGTTTGAGCAGTTGACTAATGCAGCGAAGGCTTCAATGAGTTTACTCATAAAACATTTGCTGAGATAGAGTTTAAAGCCTAAGAAAATGTCAATAAACACTTAAACCCCTTCTGAGGAAGCCTTTTACATGTCACAATTACTTTATCAATATGCAGCCCTTTACTTTGTTAGCAGTATATGTGGTTTATAAAGAGTACTTTTAGCACCATTTTATTACCTGCTACATTTAATTTGAACCACTGTTAGCATCTTGGTTGATCTCCTTTGCCCTTTAATTTTTTGCATGGGGCATTTCCGTTGCTGAGTTCATACCCGTGCCCTTTCCCCACTTCACAGGTGACCTGAGCATTTTTTCTGGTGTTAGGTTTTCAGAACCACCACTGCACAGGTGCAGGTCCTGATTCACTGAGCTGCTTCCCACTGATGGGCAGTTCAGGGGTTGGCAGTGTTTTTATTTTATAAATAGTAAAGGTCTTTATGTAACTTTTTATGATTAGAAGTTATTCCCTAAGACTAAACAGTTAGTAATGGGATAATAGATCAAAGAATGAAAGAATCATTTTCTGTGATGGATGTTGAACTGTTGTCTGCAAGCAAACAGTTTCTATTAGGTTCCTGTACGATATTCTGTCTTCCTATTAATAGAAACGGGCCTCTCCTGAAATGATCTAAAATGGTGAGAATCAGACGAATGGGGCAGGCGATAGTTCTGAGGCTTGCGTACGCGTCGGAGTCATCCTCAGTGGGCATGTTGGCAAGACCTGGAGGGGTCATGGGGAAAACTGGCTTCCCCAGGGTTTCCTGAATCCTATTCTTGGTGGACTGTGTTTTGCTCTGGGCTGGGGCAGGGGGAGCTGGGTGTAGAGGGTGGAGAGTCTCAGTAAAAAGAAGTGTTTTGGGGGTTCTAGGAGCAGCCAAGCAGACACGTACATCCCTTAGGAGACCGCCCCAGCACACTCTGGAATCCTGGACAGTCGGTCACTGTGTTTGAGCTGAGCTGGTCTGAGCTTTTGAGGTTCAAAATGATTTCCTTCCACTTGGGGAGACCTGGGGGCACACAGAACCCCACCTTGTGCCTTACCAGCTATAGTGTGTCCCACCTGGGGCCACAGAGCAGAAACTGCTATGCCTATCACCCAAGGCCCAACATGATGACATAGCTACTGACTGTGCAAACCATGAACACGGGGTGGAAAGAGAGGCACAAGGCCGCAGAGGAAGACAGACCCACATGCACATCTGGGATAGGCGGCAGGCAGAGGACGCTGAACCTGGGAGCTTCAGATGAGAATGTGAATCTAGGGGGTTTCAAGCTATCCAGACAACACTGAAAAAGGCCTTTGAGAACTGCAAGCAAAACTAATCTCCTGAATCTAAGAATTTATTATATAAGCAAAGCAGTCCATGTTCGAGACCCCCCAACATAAAGTAAAAGAGAAGTCCCACCGTCCCAGCACCATGGGATGGAAATCGTGAAGGAAAAGACAGGCTGGGAGCTATTAATGAGAACATTCACACAGGGAGATTTTTCTCTGATTTGCTGCTCCAGGGGGCTCAGTTGGTCCCAGGTGGGATGAATGTAAAACACATTCATACTCCTGGTTATAATTTAGTAAGAATTTAAAGTTTCAAGGATAAAGAAATAATCTAGACTTCTTGATGCACTACATTGTCTGTAAAGAAAAATGGGTCGGTTTAACATCAGACCTATGCTCATCAGCAATGAAGACTGTGAGACATGGCATTGACAGGGGAGGAGGAGGGGGGAATGCAGTGCCCACCACTCCCATGTCACAGTAATAGAAATGCATTTGTGGATATGTCCCACACAGGAAGTCTCGAGGCAGCCCCTGAATTAATGGTATTTCATTTGGAAGACAAAGCTGTGGATAAGGAAGAGAGGTAAGTCAGGGAAGAACTAATTTTACCATACAACTACATCTTACAGGATGATGATATTCTAATTAAGACTTGGTGATGGACAATCTCAAGTAAGGTTTTAGAAACAGCAACACATTTTAATGAAAATTCTATAATCAGATGCTAAAAATTATTAGGAAAACCCAGATGTTGAAGTGCCCGATATAGGTGTCCTAGGGGGTTTCAACTTTGATGGCTAAGCTTTCAGGAAAATGCAGTAGAATGTCCCGAGGATGGAAAATTCATTCTAAGATTTTTGATGTAAAGAAAAATGTAATTTTAATTGGGGCTGTTGAAAAACTAAGAACCATCGTAAAACTTGAGAAGCAGAGGAGCAATAAGAAGAAAAGATATAAACAGAAACCTCACCAAGAAATAAAAATAACAAAAAGGATGAAAGAAGAAATAAATGCAAGTACAATGTGTAGTAATCAAAATGACATGGATAAAAATTTATACTTAATTTATTAAATGGGCAGAACTCTTATTAGAGAATAAACCCAACTCTGCAGTGTTTATAGAAGCAAGCCTAAAAGAAAATTATAAAGACAAGCAAATAATAAAGACAAGCAGAAAACACAGGCCACTGCAAAGCAAAATACCAAATAAACAAGAATGCAATAAACAAGAATGGGAAAATTGCGAAGGAAAAGTCACTATCAGCAGATCTAAACAGCACTAAGGATATAAAAATGCTTGGCTTGCCAAGGTCTATAAGAGTCATCAGGCTACAGCACAGAACCAAAATATATAAAATAAACGCTTCTACCAAGCTAAGCAGATAAAGAAAAATCTTTCAGAATTTGGATGATCCAGTATACAAAAAATCACTATGCACAGGAGATTATCATTTGATTTAAGAGATACACAACTTTAAACCATACAAATGGATAACATATTCTGTTTTCTTCTTTGTCACAGGAACTTTATAAACATGCTTGCATACTAGGTCACCAAGAAAATGTTACTACATTTTTTAAAAATAATAACTTCATAAGTCATTATGTGGCTATATCCTGGTAAAATTTGAAAGATAAAAAGATATTGAAAATGCTCACTGCTTGAAAATAAGAATTTCTGGGGCTGGGGATTTAGCTCAGTGGCAAAGTGCCTGCCTGGCAAGTGCAAGGTAGTGAGTTCAATTCCTGGTACTGGAAGAAAAACAAAAAAACAAAAAACAAAAAAAAGAAAATAAGAATTTCTTACAGAAAACCTTTTTACACAAGTGCATTACCCAGGAGTAGGAAATCACTTATGCCATAACTGTACAGGCAGACTTCATTTCTGTTGAACTTCACAGATACAACTTGATCTTAATGCAGGCAAGGTTTGTGGCAACCTTATGTTGAGCAGGTGTCTGGTGCCCTTTCTCCCAACCTTGTGCTCACTGTGTCTCTGTGTCACATTTCAAACATTTCCATT